AGTGGGCAACGACGGCGGCGGTGGTGGGGGCGGATGGGTGACTTCGAGATGATCAGCAGCGCTGTGTAGGAAGGCGTCCAACGTGGCAGGAGAATTGTCCTGTGATTTCTTGTCCTTGCCAAAGAGCTTGCCCATGAAGCGTCCCCTCCGGGACGGCCGCCCCTCGTCGGCAGATGGTGGCTCGCTCTCCATGGTGTGGACGCAGGACTTTGAGAGTGTCTCATTGACATGGAAAGTTTGGGAGGCGTCGCTATGCTTGGAGGACGGTTCGTCCACCAGGTCCTGCCGACACCAACGAGAGCCGAAGGGGCTTATAAGCCCTCTGCGCCTTTTCAACTGTGTTGTGCAAGATGTGAATGGGAAACACGGACAAAGAAGGGAGAGAGAGTGTGGGCGTGCCTGTGTGGGCGTGTATGTGTGTCAACTCGATGGAGCAGGGCGAGGCGACAGCTGGTAGGTCGTCTTTGTATTGACTAGCGTGTGGGGGAGTGGTCGAGCACCGTTGACCTGAGAGTCTAGTGACAACAGAGCCCTGCGGGGAGCCCGTTGCTGATGCCTGACGCTGTAACAGATCCCCCTACAGTGCAGTGCCGTGCCCCCAAGACGTCCAGACACAAGAAGGCTGGCGAAAGCCGCGGTGCCGCAACGAAGCCAGGGGTCCAGCACCCTTGGTGAGCAAGGGTCTCGATTTCTGGGCGGCACACCCAAAATAGACGTTGGTGGACACGTGGATGGCGGTGGAAATAAATGGCTGGGAGTCCGTTTGAAAGACGCATGCGGCCTGGACAGGCAAAAGGAAAAAAACAGAAGTTGGAAACGGAAGCAGAAAACAGAAGCGAGCAGCAGATGACGGCGGGTTGTCGGGAGGAAATGTCGTCAACAGCTGCCGGGATACTAAGACAGCACAAGGGGCTCAGGGAATGGGAGAAATGGGAGAAATGGGAAATGGGCCGATCGTCACGGCTAATGAGTTGGCTGAGGATTGACGATGGTGAAGTGTGCGCATGTGCTCAGGTGTGATGAAGGACGTGGTGCGGGCCCGTCTCTGCACCCGTTGACCACCCTTTCGAGGCGTTCCACGACATTGTACGGAGTAGATGGCCAAGCAACCGGAACCAATTGTGCGCGGTGTATACCTCGCCAACAACCTGTGTGCAAGCCCGCGATCAGGTACTTCAGTGAACACACTGAGGCCGCCCCTGAGACACCAGGCTCCACTGTGGACAGGCGGGCCCTGGGGTGGCGCCAAGCCCAACGTCATAAACTTTACAAGACCACATGTTTTGTAAAAGTACTAGTTAGTACGTTCAGTCTGCTATAGCCTACACGGGCACAATGCCAACCGAATCGGCCGGCATGTTGAACGTAATATCCATATTTATTTGAAGACGACCGGGGGGGGGGGGTGACAGGGGACGGGGGCTCCATGTCACAGGCCTGCGTTGACCTCAAGGGAAGTATCAAGTAGTGTAACTTCCAAGTTGTCTGCTCAAACGGCAGGATTTATTACATACTGGTATGTTTGGTTAAGTACCAAAAGGACCCAGATCAGGATCTCGTACTTTGTGGCATTGGCCTCACAGCTTTCCACCAGAGATGGCCGACTTCCATCAACCGACATCTGGAGCGGATCGAGCTTTAATGCAGGCGCTTGAAGCTGCCGAGCACATGGCCTGGCAAGAGCACTAAGCCCCCTTGGGCGATGCCGTCGTCGATTGTTCCGATCTATTTTAAGCGGCCGCCCGCTGGCGCCGGCGCTTAAGACTCAGATGTTGGTGTCTAGACATCAAGACGCCTTGCCGAGCCTCGTACCCATCCCTTGAGCTTGGCGTGCCTTTGGTCATGAGAATAACTACTGCATACCTACCTAGGTAGCTACTCCATGCTGGTTGTGTCAAGGCTGCAGGGCGGTCGCTCGAGCAATGCTGGTGCCGGCCCTGTTCATCGCCTTAGGGCTGCGGTATAATACTACAAGCTCTTTCTTGATGGCTCTGATCCAATAAGCGCGGTACTCCGTACGGGCGGCTGCTTCTCAATACGAGGACCTGTTGCTACTTCCGTAGCAGACGTCCCATTCCAAAAACTGGAGCCGCAAATAAACATGGCACTACTCCGTACTCGGCCTCGTATTGACTTGAGTTCAATTACCACCAACAAATTTCAGTGACGAGCAAGCTTTCGAGTCAGGTCAACTCGAAATATTAACAAGGGCAGCCAAGGGCACGCATACTTTTCAGGTCATTTCCGGTTGGCATTGTTCTTGATGTACTATTTTGGGATTTGATTACCCTAATGAACAGTTGTATTGCTGCCTGTGGCGTCTGTTTTCTGTGTGGCAGCCTTCAACTTACGTCGATTGACGGGGAGCTGCTACGCAAAACAAGGTAGCATTCTATCGCTGAGTGAATCATGAAACTTCAACTTACTACTGTCATATCATACTTAGCACCTACAGTCTGTGGCGGAATATATTTGCCCGCCGAGAAGTATACGCTCATCTGTTGCAGTATATTATAGGATGGAGCGCGACGGCCTGGTACCTGATCTGGTTGAATACTTGTTGCCTAGGGAAAAGCAAAACTTCATACTTTGAATCCTTCCTTCGGCATCTGGCCCCACCGCACGAAGCCGTGAGGTACGTACGGAGTATTATACCCAATGCCAGCAAATGTCGATTGACCCACAACTCGTGAAAAGTGCTTATCGACAGGATACCCCTGCTTAGTAACCGCGTGGATGCCTCACTTTGTCCGGTTTTCGCGATGCGACAAGTCTAAACTCTGGTCATCTCCAGCCACACTAGACATGTAGATTTGCATCCGTGGGGCATGGTGCTTACATTCCTGAAGAGAATAATGGCTACCCAAGTCAACAAAGTCCCCATCCCCCGCCGGGGAGTCGATTATCGGGGCAAGATTGTCCTTGCGCCGATGGTGCGCTCGGGCGAATTGCCGTCGAGGCTGCTGGCTCTTCACTATGGAGCGGATCTCGTCTGGGGTAAGCATGATTGCCACTTATCAAATTACAAGCACAAGAAGAGAAAGAGGCGCATCTAACTTGAAGTTCCCTAGGTCCGGAAACCATTGATCGTGCCATGATTGGAACGACTCGGCGAGTCAACCAAAATACGAGGACTATCGAATGGACCCGAATGTCCTCCCAGGGCCACAAGGAACCGCCGCCAGATGCCAAAGAAAGCATAATTTACAGAGTGTTCCCGGAAAAGGAGGCAAACAAGCTCATCTTTCAAATCGGCACCGCCGACCCCGACCGCGCTGTCGAAGCCGCCCGCCTTGTCGCTGCAGACGTCGCAGGCATCGATGTCAACGCGGGTTGCCCCAAGCCCTTCAGCACCAGCGGCGGCATGGGCGCAGCCCTCCTCAGGACACCAGACAAACTCGTTGCGATCCTTGAGGCCTTGGTCAAAAATATCACCCCCGAGTTCGACATCGGCATCAGCGTCAAGATTCGTATCCTCGAGACACCCGCCGAGACGGAAGCCCTCGTCAGACGACTCGTCGCCACTGGCATCACTGGTTTGACTGTCCACTGCCGAACCACCCCCATGAGACCCAGAGAGCGCGCTATTCGCGACCAACTACGCATGGTCGCAAATATATGTCACGAAGCAGGTGTCGCGTGCATTATGAACGGCGATGTTGAAAACCGCGATCAGGGATTAAAGTTGGCAGAGAAGTATGGTGCCGATGGAGCCATGATCGCCGTTGCCGCTGAAAAGAACCCCAGCTGTTTTCGGAGCGAGGCAGACGGCGGCCTGTTGGGTTGGGAGCCCGTCGTGGAGCAGTACATCAAGTACGCCATGGAAATCAGCAATCGGTTCAGCAATACCAAGTATCTCCTGGCGCAAATGATTCCCGGAAAAGCAAAACCCTATAAGACTGTGCAGCAGTCCAAGTCCTACACAGAAGTTTGCAATGCTTTGGGACTCGAGCACCTTCTCGAGAAGGCGCAGGATTGCGATATGCAGAGGGGGCTGGACAAGCCAAAGGAAAAGTTGTCAAAAAAGGCCAGGAAAAATGCCAGTGCATTGGCTGCGGGCGGGCAAATGGTTGAGGCGAGGGCTCAGAGCCAGCATCGCAAAACGCTGTCTGAACGAAATGTCGGTCCCAAGACTGCGCCTGAGCCGGCACCCGTTGCAACTGCGGTTTAATGCTGCTTAAATGAGAAACATGGACTAATCATGTCGCGGTTATGCGGCATAGCATCACTGGAGTTTGGGGTTTCAAGGCATAAGGGGTGGTCTGCTTCGCGCATGAAAACAGCGTCATTCATTGTTGGAAGACTTGAAGAAAAGAATATGCAGTTTCTTTCAAATGGGCATACGATATATCTAGATAGAAGTACATCTTGCAAATTCACGACTGGACTCGGTATAGAAGTAAATCAACATCATCACCATTGCGAATGTCGGCATGTGAATGCTTGGAAACAAAGAAAAAAATCAGTGTTTGTTTGTTCAAGTCATCTGTTCTCTATTTTGATGATGGTACAATAGGTAGCCGCCGTCTCCACCAGCCCACCTTTTATTTACCCGTGTCTATTTCCCCTGCTTCACCCAGCCCTCTACTGCTTCCCTGGCGTCCGTGACCTTGTCATCCACATACTGTACACCAATCTGACCATGTACCTTTGCAAAGCTAATGCCCTTCCTAAGACCCTCCCGGATATTAACATGCGTCTCCGCAATAGCCGGGAACCGCTGCTCATACTTCCACGACAAATCAGAGATGTTCCTCATTGTCACGGGTAAGACTGTCCATCCGGCGCCAACACCAAACGCCAGGGGCACGGTGCTCCTCAGCAAGATGTTGCGGTTGCGCGTGAGGATGCTGCCGGCCATGGCCGCGACCAGAACATAGATGGTGCCGGGCATGAGCTTCTCGCCGGACTCGCGGGAGGGTGCGAGCGAGGCAATCGTGTTGGTGAAGGACTGCTCGAGGTTGAAGGCAGAGTCCATGGTCTCGTTGACTTTGTTCTCGGTGCAGACGGCGAAGCGGTACAGGGCCATGCGGACTTTGCCAATTTGGACTGCGAGACGGTCCGTCGGCGAGGGGCCTCGCGGCTTCTTCTCCTTCTTGGGCTCTTCGGCGGCGGCGGGAGGCTGTGAGAATTGGAGAGCCTTGATGGGGGCGGCTGGGGCGGATGCGTCATTTGCGGACGGGGCGTCGAAGTCATCGTAGATGGGTTTCTTCTGCTCTTCAATTAGTCCTTCGAGTTGTCCTCTCAAGGGACTAAATAATGCGTTGATGCTCTACCGACCTTGTCCACAGGTCCTTCGGCCAGGACAGTCGCAGGGGCGAAAGCCAATCCACCGAGCGCGATTGTGGCCAACGGCGCTAGGGAGCGCTGGAAAACAATTGTTAGCAGTCTTCGTCGGTGACTGAGAAGGTCTAGAAGCGTTCTCACCCGTTGCATCAGCACTCGTGCAGCCATTGTCTGTTCAATTGGCCAACCGTCAAGCGGTGTTCAAAGTTGTCGTCGGATCCGGCTATGCTTTGTCGAGAATGGCCTTAGCGGAGCAAGCTCTCTGGTTCCTCTGAGAACCGACACGTGACTGGGAAAAGACGTCACTTCCGCTCCCGGAAGAAATCTTCAACCCAGAGAGCGCGAAAGCAGGCCTTCAGATGGCATGCCGCCTTTTGACAGGCGCGGCGAATTTAATTGAGCGAACCAGCCAAAGAAAATCGTGTTGATGGCGCATGCAGAGACATGTCCAAAGTCGTGTCTAGTACAGCATGGTACGCTTGGCGGATGGGCAAGCGAACTCACTTGAGCTGAGGTTCAACAAAGCAGGCATTTCTCAAAGGACAGAGTCACACGGCAATTCTTCAACCTGCAGAGCATAATCCATCAAGCTACTAAAGGGGCCAACTGCCTCGTGCATCAAGGTTTGAGCAGATAATCTGCTCGCAAAGAAAGAATACATATGCCTCAATTCGCGCTGGATAAATTGCCACCCTGGCTGGGTCTTTCAAACCAATAGCCAGGACATGCCTGGCAGTCGTTATTGACTCACTACTCTGTACACTGCACGTACAGCGGATTTGCAGACTTGGATACTGGAGGGCTTGGCGCCGCGGAGAAGGATGCAGCTAGTGAATGATCAGTGGTTGGTGGTGGATTATCTCGTGCACATGAAATTCCCAAAACGACCTTGTTGAGGGCGATCGCGGCCCGGCGGACGGGGAGTCGGCGCGGTAAGTCGTCGAGAGTCTGTTCCATCAAATAGTGTCAAATTTGCAACGATTATAGTAGAAATACGGAGTAGTAGATCAAAATAACGTGCGTCATTTGCCCGCTACTGTTTACATGCACCCACTCAACAGCTTACCACGGCATATCTCAGGTGAAAAGCCATGGCTGTACGGAATTAGGTCACACACATCTCGACCCGGCCGGCTGAACGGACGGCGCCGCAGCAGCACTTGAAGGCCCTTGAGCGAGGCAAAGGTGGGTTCCGATGCACCTAAATGCAATGCGCCCGTCGTGCGCTACCAAACATTCAATGTCGATTTCTACCCCCCCACCAGTTGACCCCTTCCTCCCCGAGAGCCACATTGCAGAGGCACTGCAGCCAGTACTATTGCGTGCATTAACCGAAAGTTGGCGACCGGGGGGGCGTCATTACCGCAAAACTCCGTACTTGATTCAACTTTGCCATTCTGCTATCCCCCAGAACTGGGGCCGTCGATTCGTCCATCGTTTCTCTTTTCTCTCTTCTCTCCTGTACTCATTTCATTCCAATTGCACGCCCATTCTTTCTTTTTCCCCTCTCCAAAGTGTTTCTTGTACATACTAGCCCAGTTCACATCACCGCCGCCTCGCATGCCTTCGACTCGAATTCCTTAACGACGCTGCCCCCCTGGTCAAGTCACTCCTCGTCCAACATGCTCAACTCCAGTAGCCATCGTCTCTGGATCTGCACCAGATGCGTTCGTCGCGTGACCTGGCCAGGGACGACGGCCACCTCGATACTTCAACAGCGGCGGTGGGAGACCACAGCTGCCGCAGAGGCCACGCGTTCCTCAACGCCTGCGGACCACCATGTTAGTTCTCGACATGACGACGCTGTCCTTCGCCATCTTTTCGATGCTCCGTCCGGTGGCCTGTCGTTTCCAAGCTTCAGTCTCAAGAAGAGTCAGGGCCTTTTTAAGAATCGATACCTTACAAGCCCCGACGGATTCTTCGTATTTGCCCAGAAGAACCTCGAGAAGGCAACACGTCTTGTGCAAAGAGTTCTCAGTGCCTCGACAACCGAGGATTACCGGGGGGTAGTCAAAGACCTAGATCGGTTGAGTGACTTGCTTTGTCGAGTCCTCGACATGTCTGACTTTGTACGCATGGCACATCCCGATGTTCGCTTTCAGCAGGCTGCGGCAGGTGCCTGGTCCATGGTATACCAATATATGAATCAATTAAATACCATGACGGGTCTGAATGATCAATTGGGCAAGGCGCTTTCGCTCCCTGAAGTTACCTCTGCCTGGTCAGATGAGGAGAAAACCGTTGCCGAACTGCTCAAGTTGGACTTTATGAAGTCAGCTGTCAACTTGCCCAAGAGGGCAAGGGATCGGTTCGTTGAGCTTTCATCTCGCATCAGTGACGTCGGCTCTGCTTTTGTACAAGGCATGGAGCCCGAGATCAAAGAAGTCATGCTGCCATCCCATAGATTTTACGGATTGTATCCTGGTCTGGCTGCCACCCTCAAGATTCGGTCTCAGATATCCATTGCAACAACAGGTCCTGAATCCGCTGCTGCTCTTCAGAGTGTGTACGACGAGGAGACGCGCAAGGAGATCTACCTGGCGCAACGAACAGCATCTCACAGCACCATTGAACGCTTGGAGTCGATGCTGAAGCTTCGCGCAGAATTGGCCAATCTCGCAGGGTTCGAAAGCCATGGGCACATGGCCCTCAAGGACAGAATGATGGCCAAGTCGCCGGCCTCGGTCATGAAATTCCTCCTCGCCTTGCGCAACCACAACGCCCCCATTGTTCAGCAAGAACTTCTTGAGCTGACAGAAAAGAAAAGGGAACGTCTTGCCATGCCAGAAGTGGACCTTCAGGCTTGGGATAGAGACTTCTACATGGAGAAAGTACGGGCTGAGATGCGCTCTCGCGTCCGTCACGAAGACCAACTAACAGCTTTCTTTTCTGTGGGCACCGTCATGCAAGGTCTGTCACGACTCTTTGATCGGCTCTATGGAGTACGCTTCATCCCGCGCGAAGCCTTGCCCGGAGAAGTGTGGCATCCAGACGTCAAACGATTAGACGTCGTGTCGGACGACGGAGAACAGCTCGCCGTCTTGTACTGCGACCTGTTCTATCGTCCCCAAAAGTCTCCCAACCCAGCACACTTCACAGTCAGATGTTCTCGTGAGATCCTCGCCGACGAACTCAACGAAGCAACAGAGGACATGGTCTCGGCGACACCCATCTTTGACTCCCCCGAGTCCGCTGCCAACGACGGCATGGAAACATCCCAACGTGACGGCAAACTCAACCAACTACCCACCATTGCTCTGGTCTGCGATTTTCCCAAGAACAATTCGGCCCGTGAGCCCGCCTTCCTATCATACTACTCTGTAGAAACACTCTTCCATGAAATGGGCCACGCCATCCACTCCATTCTCGCACGAACATCGTTCCAAAACGTCTCGGGGACCCGGTGCGCCACTGACTTCGCCGAACTGCCATCCACCCTCATGGAACACTTCGCAGCTGATCCCACCGTCCTCTCCCTCTTCGCCCGCCACTGGAAGACGGACCGCCCTCTCTCGTACGACCTTGTCCAAGAGCGTATTACTCTCTCTAAACGTTTCGAAGGAATCGACACGGAGCACCAAATCATTCTTGCAATGCTCGACCAAGCGTACCACTCTCCCCAAGTGACTAACCTCTCGTTTGACTCAACTCGCATCTTCCACGAAATTCAGCACAAATTTGCCCACGGGCCCAAAGACCCCCCCGGAACAAGCTGGCAAGGCTTCTTTGGTCACTTGCACTCGTACGGAAGCACGTACTACAGCTACCTCTTTGACCGGGTTCTCGCAGAGCGTGTGTGGCGGATTGTTTTCAAAGGCGGCGATGACCAAGCCGCCATAAGTAGGGAGAATGGCGAGCGTCTGAAGCAGAATTTGTTGAAATGGGGCGGGGGTCGAGATCCCTGGAGATGCCTGTCAGACACATTGAAGGACGAGAGGCTGGCTGCTGGCGATGAGGAGTCAATGGCTCTGGTGGGTAGCTGGGGTATAAAGGATCACCATCAAAGTTCATAAAGGAATGTAGATTCCGCCCAGAGCGCACGTGTCGCAATCGGAGATTCCGTCTCCTGATGAGAACGCATCGGTTCTTGGAGGGTCAAAACACGTCCTCATTTGTGCCGTCCTGGATTGGTTGGAGGCATTCAGTATCGATCGATACCAGCATGCAGACGGGAGGGAAGTCGGGCACCACCACGTCTTTCGTCTTTCCCTTTCCAACTTGACATTGTGGGAAGAAGGCTCTCACTCGACAGACGTGTCCTGCTTCCAAATAGTCCAAAAAGCTCGTCCTTCCTAATATGTAGGACCGTAATCGTGCTACATCCCGGAATATATTGCACTATATTAACGTGTACTTGTCAATAGGCGAGTTTTATCTTGTCACGGACGGTACACGATGCGGAACTTACGACATTGGTGGCCTCACATCTTCCATGGTATGATGCATTATATGCTCATTGGGCAACGAAGCACAGACCCGCATGCAGAACGTATGAAGTCATTCAGTTACGAATATAATTCAGCTTGATCAAACATCGAGTTCAAATGATTCATATTCTCATAAACATCTTGCCATACTATCTTACAAGGGTATATTAGTTCTGAATATCCGCCTTCATCTTCCATCCCCTTCATCCTTTCATAAACATGTAATTCCGACCGCTATTTGCTCGTCAAAGCAAACCAACCGGGAAAACAAGAAGAAAGCTTCATCAATTGTTCGAACTCATACAGCTTTTGTAGCAACTCGCTGCATTATTGTCAACGGCTGTCTCTCAGTCAGATGTGACAAAGATAATTTCCTGCCATTTGACAACATTGGGTCATTTTCGTTGCCGTACATGTCCAAACTGCTTTTAGTAGTCTCAACAGGTGTGACGAACGAGTCCGTATACTCTTTATCCGATCCATCTTCTGCCGTTGTTCCAGAATCTTCAATGCCTAAATTGGTATACCCAAATCCAGGAGCTGCTAGATGTCGTCGCTCATCATCCTCATCATAGTCAAAAACCGACACCTCACCAAGGGACCTGTCAAGTGACGGTGACTCGCTTTGATCTGCGTTGGTGTATACCATGCTTTTGCTCATGACCTGGATTTGACGTCCCAAACTTCTTACCCGGGCTTCAAGAGCCTCACGTGCTGAACGCTCCGTTTCAAAAAGAGCCATCAGGTTTGTGTAATGCTCAAATGTGAGTGATCCATGACGGCTCCTTGATGTGGCATCTAATCCGCGTGGTGCCGCCACAAAGTTTGGGCGAGCCTCTCCATCAACCGGCGACAGAATTGTTGCGCGGGGAGTTGAGTCGCTAATGTCCCCAAATGTCATTTTGGACGCATCAGAATGTCTAGTAGATGGTCGGCTCGTGCTCTGCCGATGCTCATCAGCAAGGGAAAAGTCACCAGGTTGTATTCTCATCGAATGTATGATATGGTCGGGAGTCTGAAGCTGCGCTTGTCGCGGTCCCCCCGACGAACGCATCTGCGTAGTGGATGGCTGACGCAGGGCCGGAATGCTTTGTCCAAGTTGAAGAACAATGCTCTCCAGTCGGCTCATGCGTGTCTCGAGGCTACTAACTCTACTGTCCAGGCTGAGACGCTCAGCAGCTCCTGCAGGCTCCCCTATTTTAGTAGGAGTTGGCGTCTGTACCTCCTTTGTCTCGACTGCTTCCATCAGAACAATCTGCTCGGGTGTCACGGCGCGTTGCTCGGTAGAAGAGGTTAACTCTTCAGCATCACCCGAGAGCAACTGCCTGATTTCCTCGTCTGCCGTTGTGGAGGTTGGCGACATAAACGGAGCGGCATAGCTTTCCCTCCAGTACCGAATTTCGGCACTGCGACGTCGAACGACTCCTTGCGACGCAAGTTCAAGACTGGGCATAACTGACAGACTCCTCGAACGGCGCTTCAGGCCATGGGCCTCACTTGAAATTGCACGTCCAATCTCACTAGGATCATCACCAAGGCCAGCCTTTCGAGTTCCTCGGTCTTGAGAACTGGCAGGTCGGGGGGACAGTCCTGTAAGCTTTGATCCGCCAGCCCATCCAGGACTTTCCAGGTTCGTTGAGGGCTCAAAGACGGCAAAATTCTTGTCAGACATTCTGATATCTGCATTGATGGAGTTTCGAACACTTGTAATGGCCATGACATCCTCAGGGCCAATGGAATGAGAATGGAGAGCGCGGTCGAATTCGGTAATGGGCATTGAGAAGGACCGTTTTGGTTCGATGCTCATTTGGTTTGATCGCTCCCATGGCGGATCCTGGTGCCGCCACATTAGCTTACTCCTAGACGCATGAACTTGGCAGGAAATTAACGTACGCTTCTATGCTGCTTATTAGATAAAAGTGTAGAAGCGTCAGAGGGCTTCCAATCAGGCGTGCCTGCCTTTTCATTGGTCTCTGACTTCTTCTTCCGGCCGAACAGTTTGCCTAATGCTGACCGAATAGTGGACTTTTTCCGCTGAGCTTTGCTGGACTTGCTAGCTTTGCTGTGTCTGCTGTCTTCTTGATCTGATATCCGCGTAAATCGGTCATGTTGGCTGAGAGAAGACTTTCGCAAGGTGGATGCTCGTCGAGGCGCTGAAAGTGTGTGCTGCTGCTGGCGTGTAATCAAGGGGTCTATATTTCCAGCAGAAACGGCTCTAAAGTGAGAGGTTTTATAACTCTGGCTACTGCTGGTGGGCTCTTGAGGTATCAAATGGGAGTCACTTGAAGCTTCGTCGGCATTTCTAGCTACCATGTCTGTCTGGTCTCGCATGGGGAACTCCTCATCCATAGGATCAGGGATAGGAATTGGTCCAGAGATCTGGCCCCGGATAGACTTGGATGCAGCTCGAGGCTTTTGGCCATTGCCACCAGTAGCAGGTTTCCACGGCATGGTGTAGGAAAGGGACTGTGCCGGCGACCCAAGGGATGACTAGCAAAGACGAAGAGATGGAGGTAGACAAATTCCTCGGGCGCCTGCCAGTAAGAGATAGGACGTAGATGAAGCACGGAAATTCAGGGCCTGGTAATTAATCTGCTGACAAGAGAAAGAGAAGACCAAACAGGCAGTTCTATGTTCAGCCGACAGTCAATGAGGAGTTCCTATCTCACCATGCCACATGGTACAAAGAATACCCAGGGGTCTTGATGAGGAGAAACGCGGATAACACGAGCAGACAAGCCCGAGAAGCAGGAGCGAACAAACAAGAGCAAGAATAAAGAGTTCAAAAGGCGAGCAATCGAGCAATGCTGGTCAAAGAGGAAAGAATCTACACCAGGCGAGCAAAGAGTCGTGGCGTCATGATTGAAAACCGAACATGAATGAAACGGCAAGGCATCTGGCGATGCGCCTCTGGTGGGCTCTGGCTCTCAGCGCGATTCTTGGTTGTTGTTGTGGCCGTGGTCGTGTTCGTGGTATGTTCGTGATGGTGTTGTGTACTTGGTCCCAGTCGAACCAACGGCCAAAACAAACCAAGGAGTCGTCAACCAGAAGCTACGGTTTCAAGGGAAAAGGAGAGTGGTGCAGAACGCGGCTCGCCAGTTATGCACCTAGTGGTTACTTAAGTATATGGGCTATGCCACCGGATGAATTGCAGTCGAGGGGCACAATTGCCATTGGACAAGGCAGGCTGAAGAAGGGAAAGAGTGAAACATGGCTGCCACGTCTCCAGGCACGACAGGCATGTTGAGATGCAGACGAGGACCGGTTGACACGCCAGGCTATGCCGAGCCATACCAAATGGCATGAAGGCCGTGGCGTGGGCCTGCAGGAGTCGCATAGTACTAAGCACGTTAATACGTACAGGTAACTCGATAATAAATGAAATAGGCGTTGCACCAAGGAGGTGTGCGGGCTTGAGTGGGTTTGGGCTGGAGAATGATGGCTGCATGACCGTGATGAGCGTGCCAGAACAGCCAAGAATGGGTCACGAACGAAACAAGGACTGTGAAAGTGGAGGCAAATGAGGCAAAACTCGGAGGATAGCCTGAGTGTCAAGTGTCTCGACTAAAGCAATAGGCACTGACTGGCGTGCCGAGCTATGAAGTCACCAAGGCCAGCCATATCGAGCGGGTTGCAACCATGGGCGGAGAGCGAACGAGGGGGGTCGAGAGAGGGTCAAGGGTCAATCGAGCGCATCGATTCATGGTCGTTTCTGGCGTCTTGGGCTGACAGGGTTGCGCCAGGTACCACAGCCCAGCAGGACGTAGGCGGGGGGGTCCCCTCAGCCGGCGCCCATGTTCGACGTCGACGATGATGTTGATGGATGGATGGATGGTAAGTGGTGGACGAAGTCCGAGTCGGAATGTTGTCGAGAGAGAATGCAGCGAGTTGAGATTTGAACAACACACTCATTCACTTTCACGCGGCCACTGGGGCCAAAAGTGCACAAGACATCAACACGGTCATCGCTCCTTCCTCTTGGGGGCCACGCAGTCTTCCTCTCACCTCTGCATCTCTGTCATCTGTCCATGTCTCTTCCTCCTCTGTTTACTACTTCCCTCATCAATTCTTGGTCTGCGGCGTGCACCAGGCTTTTTGTTACACGTCAGAAAAAAAATACATACACATGCATGTCTTCCTCAAACGGTCCACTACGTCGAACGTGCGGTCCAAATCCCACGGCGATACCCCTCGAATGTGCATTGCTAGGACATTGCAGACGAGGCTCTGTGTTTCCGTCGTGCTGGATCGAGGGGCCATCTTATCGAAACGGACATCAGACCCCCGTGGCCTTGGGCTCCAGCTACTGTGCAAAACAGAACAATGTCAACCCGCGTACGGAGTTGGGAGTACTAGAGGGGCACAGCATTGCAGATCCTCCGATCGCCATGTCTCACTCACTCAGGACCAAACCCGCTCACTGTGCCATCAACAAAATGCATGTCTCTCGTCGCGTATAGGATCCCACTACGTCCCGAATTTTCCAAATTCCCTCCAACGGGCATCATCCTTGCAGTGTCCCCCATTCCAGCATCCAGGGTCTCCCGCGAGCCGGTCACTGGTGACATCCCCCCGTCGCTCGCCAACAATGACGAACACCTTGCTCCGTACAATACCCCGTCAAGATGCCCGGCATCCAAGGGTACCACAAAGACGTGCTGTACCAACAAAGTACGGAGTACGTACCACAGCATCGACCAAAAAAAAAAAAAGATTAAAAGGATCTTCCGGGTTTACATGCATACAGACAATAATGGCGGTGGCGCAAAATGTCCCGGGCTGGGATCCCGTTTCCCGCCTCACATAATAATATCTAGGAAGTATACTAGACCATCTGCAGCATTGCGGAAACCGACATACGTGTCCATACACGTGCATTGATTGATTACCCATCAGCGTCTTTGCATTGAACAAAGCCTCACTTGTCCCCTTGTCCGCCCGGGCTCCCCGAGGCTGACCTTTGGTTCAAAGGTTAATATTAGTCGCTGCTGGCGCCAAGGTCTAACGGGCACCCCCATTCATTCATTCATTCATTCACCTCTCAGCTTTGTGCCTGGAGGCCATGCACAGTTGGTCCTTCTGATAGGATACAGACTGCGTTGCGGGTGGATTTGTTTTGGCGCAGCGTCCTGGCCTGTTCGAGATGTGTGCCTACGGTATGTGCTTGGGTCACATTTCGGGTGGGCTATCTCACATCCCAAGTTGCGTGTCATTGTCGAGAGGAATTCGCAGCATAATCATAACTCGACGGCCAGGTTGGTCGGTCCGGAGGTCCATGCTCACCATCCTGGCGCAGTCAGTCCCGTGATTGGGTGCCCCACATCCCGTCGCGAATAGCGCATCTCGACTCTCAATTGTATCAAACATTGTATCTCACCAGCTCGGCGCCCCTAGTCATGTCCTCGACGTACATACATGCATACCATACACAGCACAGTACAGATAGGCGAATGTCACGCAAACCCACCAATCTGCCTTGACTTTTGTCCAGGCACACAGGGACACCCTGGTCATGACCATCTACTCACCACATCATGTTTACGACTTGGAACCAGAAAGATTGCCCGTCAGTCATCAATTTACGCCAAAAGCAGACTTATACAACATTCACCTAGTGCCATTGATGGCGACCATCATCGCCCTCACTTACATATGTACAACGAACACACAGCTTGACACGGCGTGAGAAAGGGGTATTCCCCCATCGTTATGCCGGAATTTCCACCAACCGCCAAATGGAATACACGTCCAGTTTACAATTCGTAAGCTGCCTGGACGTCTCGTTTGCCAACACGACCCACGTTCTACATTGTCGCTGCGAGAATCAAACGTCACAGCCAACCCTACGCTGACGTGCAGCCTGCCTCGGGTTTGCGACCCCGTGTGCTTGGCCTCGTGGCTGAGCATTTTTTTTACGAGCTCTAACACTCTTTGCTGCATGACACAAATTACCCGGTGTTCTAAAAAGGAAATCATATTCAACAAGGGAGAGGTTATGCCATTTCAGAATTCAAGTGCATTAGATACAGTAGTTGCGATTACGGACCTGCAGCCGGGCCAGTTACCAACGTCAAGGCCAACCACGGGCGTTGGATGTAAAGCGTCAAGTGCCATCAACTTGCATTTATTCATGCTCTTTGCCCTTCTTTACACGATTGGTATATGGTGCTACAGCTAGTACTCCCACCATCCCCGACTACCCAGGTAGTTGTCTCTATGTAGTACGCAGTCAATCGACCAAATCCACCCATTCTCAACACCAACTCCCGTCTCAGACTACAGTAGTACAATGCAATCATCGACCCGTATGACAAACTCCCCCACCCTTTTTGAAGAACAATATTCTCCTTCCCGTCATGAGACGACTCCCGCACGTCCCGTTCCACAGCGAACACCACCTGAAACCAAACTAGGGAATCCCTTCTCCCGGCTCACACCCACCCCTTGCCGGTTTTCCAGAACCTGGAATCCAGTGTCCGATCAACTGGTTCTGTCGCTTGGCCACCCATTGCAAACATACCCTTTGTCTTTCCGCATTTGGATGTAATTTTCCCCCGTTTCAGTCAAGCCTAAGGGAACTACACCTCCTTGCGACGCCATGCGAGTCGGGCCATTAGTTGCCAATGGAAGATATGTCAGGATACCGAAGGTCGGCGTTATCTTCGAGGAATTCCATCCATTTTTTGAGAAAGTTGCTTCCCCTAATGTTTGGGTCAGTACACTTCTGCCCATAAAGTACCTGCAGACGCTTGGGACTGAAGCTTGCTTCTTCCTCCCCACACCCAGACCGTCGTCTGGAGTTGATTCACGACGACCACATCGATGTCGGACTTCTTACCTCTTTACGGTCTCCGAGTCTCCAATTATAGTGAGCGATCGCCTCGGACGAGTCATGGCCACTGCAACAAAGGTTAGGGTGGTTTCGTGCACAATATGACGACTGCGGTTACAGTGGGCTGGGGAAGAAGAGGGGGCTAAACTCACCGTTTAATCTTCTCTTTTCACCAAGGAACCCTACTTCACCGTCGGGATTGCTTCGCACGAGGCTGACGATGACCGCCTCCTTCTCGCGGCCTTGGAACCCATCCACACTGCCTAGTTCTATGCCCGGGAACCTTTCTTTCAAGGGCGCTAGCACGCCCAGCTAGCTCATGCACGCACGTCAGATCTCTTTCTTCCGGAAGTCAACAATCGGGCTTATAAATGATCTTACCTGAGCATTATATGGGGTTACGATGGCAATGTCCTCCGGACGAACGCCCGCGCCAACCAACCGTCCCGCATGCTGCATTACCAATGCTGCTTCCATCTCGTTGCTCTTGCTCTCACTATGTAAACTGCCTTTCCCTTTCTTGGGATTGTCCTTATCGTCTTCCTCATTTTGCTCCGGGAAATCACCCCCTTGGGTGTCGATAAAAATAAGCGGCGCGCTTGTGTCTTCGTTATCTTGG